GAAGAGGAGGAAGAGGACGAGGAGGAGGACGAGGAGGAGGAGATTTGGTTTATATCCCACCCTTCACTACCCAAAGGATTCTCAGAGCGGCTTACAATCTCCTTCCCCTTCCCCTGCCCACAACAGACACCCCGTGAGCAATGCTCCCTCTAAGCTGTGGAGTCTTGTGAGCAAAAATTCTACTTTGTGAGCTACTGGCATTCAAGTTGTGAGCGAGCGATTTGGCTGCTGCATAAATTAGTTTGCTCTGGAGCCATCCTTCCTGAGCTGGGACAACAATGTGTGAGCCGTAGGCTAAAGAACTGTGAGCTAGCTCACACTAACTCAGCTTAGAGGGAACCCTGCTGATGTGAGGTAGGTGAGGCTGAGAGCGCTCTTTCAAGAACTGCTTGTGAGAGAAAAGCTCTGAAATGACTTGTAACTGTCCCAAGGTCACACCAGCAGCTCCATGTGAAGGAGTGGGGAATCAAACCCAGTTCTCCCAAGATTAGAGCCCGCGCTCCTAAGCACTACACCAAACAAAGCCAACAAACATGCAACTTGGTGGTGGAAAGTGCTGTCAAGTTGCAGCTGACTTATGGCAACCCCGTAGGGTGTTCAAGTCAAGAGACGGTTCAGTGGTGGCTTTGCCATTGCCTGCCTCTGCCTAGCGACCCTGGACTTCCTTGATGGTCTCCCATCCAAGTACTAACCAGGGCCGACCCTGCTTAGCTTCTGAGATCTGACAAGAGCTGGCTAGCTGGGGCCATCCAGGGTAGGCACCTCCACCTTAGTGCCGTGTAACTGGCTGCTGGCTTGATGTGCATAAATAAAGGGGGAAGCAGAATCTTTTGTATTCCTGGACCGTAGATTAAATTATACAGGCTCCACAGGTACGGTGGTACCTGCTTGAGGATCGTGTTGTGCCCTCACTGGGATAGACGGAAGAGCTTGCCAAGGGATGAAGTCTTTTTCCCAAAGCATCAGGTGTCTTCTTGTCACAAAGCCTTGGGCTCCTCGGAAAGCTTTAGCCTTGTTTTGGTCAAAGGTCAAAGGGTTGGCGGACCAGGCTTTACAAAGAGCAGGCAGGACAACCAGCAGGAGAGGCAGCCACGTCAGCAACGGCAGACGACGGGTGTTGTCCGAGCCAAGACCTTTGGGCCCAGGCCTAACTTGGAAGCTTTTATAGGTAGGGCAGCTCAAAATGAGAGATTGTTCTCTGAAAAGCATAGCAAGAAGAAGAAGAGGAGGAGGAAGAGGAGAAGAGGAAGAAGAGGAAGAAGAGGAAGAAGAGGAAGAAGAGGAAGAAGAGGAAGAAGAGGAAGAAGAGGAAGAAGAGGAAGAAGAGGAAGAAGAGGAAGAAGAGGAAGAAGAGGAAGAAGAGGAAGAAGAGGAAGAAGAGGAAGAAGAGGAAGAAGAGGAAGAAGAGGAAGAAGAGGAAGAAGAGGAAGAAGAGGAAGAAGAGGAAGAAGAGGAAGAAGAGGAAGAAGAGGAAGAAGAGGAAGAAGAGGAAGAAGAGGAAGAAGAGGAAGAAGAGGAAGAAGAGGAAGAAGAGGAAGAAGAGGAAGAAGAGGAAGAAGAGGAAGAAGAAGAGGAGGAGATTGGATTTATACCCCACCTTTCACTCAGAGTCTCAGAGAGGCTTACAATCTCCTTCCCTTCCTCTCCCCACAACAGACACCCCCTGAGGTAGGTGGGGCTGAGAGAACTCTGAGAGAACTGCTCTTGAGAGGACAGCTCCGAGAAAACTGGGACTGACCCAAGGTCACACCAGCAGCTGCATGGGAAGGCGTGGGGAATAAAACCCAGTTCTCCTAAGATTAGAGTCTGTGCTCCTAACCACTACACCAAACTTGCTCTGACTGGCTCTACACCAAACTAACTCCATCTTTCTTTTGTTAGGCTTGCCAACTTCAAGTTGGAAATTCATGGTGATTTGTGGGTGGAGCCTGGGGAGGGCAGGGTTTGGCGAAGCGAGAGAGAGCAGCAGGGATATGACGCCCTTCCAAAGTTATCATTTTCTCCAGGGGAACTGACCTCTGGAGTCTGGATTTGTTGTAATTCTGAGACCACTCCAGCCCCCACCTGGAGGCTGGCAACTCTACTCTTTGCACACCCAGGATTCTGTTGAATCAGGTATGGTAAGCCTCAAGTGGTTAAGATGCAGAACTGCAGGCTGGAAGGTCGGTAGTTCAGCAGTTCAAGTGCCGCATGACGGAGTGAGCTCCCGTCTCTGGCCCCAGCTCCTGCCAACCTAGCAGTTCGAAAGCAAGAAACTGCAAGTAGATAAATAGGTACCACTTCGGTGGGAAGGTAACAGCGTTCCGCGCGCCTCAGCGTCTAGTCATGATGGCCACATGACCACGGAAACATCTTCGGACAGCGCTGGCTCTTCGGCTTTGAAACGGAGATGAGCACCGCACCCCTAGAGTCGGATTCGACTGGCTTTCAAGCAAGGGAAACCTTTCCCTTTTAAGCCTCTATTAGAAGAACTCGTCATAAGAGTTTCCATTATGTTCTTGTGTGATCTCCCCGATATTGACATAATTCTGCACCAGGTGTACCATAAGGTGTCATTGTGAGAACACAATTCTAGGCAGATACACCCCAGCTAGCCAGCTCTTGTCAGATCTAAGAAGCTCAGCAGGGTCAGCTCTGGTTAGTATCTGGATGGGAGACCACCAAGGAAGTCCAGGGTTGCTACACAGAGGCAGACAATGGCATCTCCCAAGACAGGGCAATCATTGGGGGCGTGTGTGTAAAAAAATTACTAGTTTATTTCCATGTCCAGGGCAGGAGCTGGCATATTAAAGCAAGGTGGCAAGAAAAGGACATATTTGGAATAATGCATTAATTATTATTATTATGAACCAGACTGGTGTAGTGGTTAAGAGCATGGACTGTAATCTGGGAGAACCGGGTTTGATTCCCCACTCCTTCACATGCAGCTGCTGGTGTGACCTTGGGTCAGTCACAAGTTCTTTCAGAGCTGTTCTCTCACGAGCAGTTCTCAAAAAAGCTCTCTCAACCCCGCCTACCTCACAGGGTGTCTGTAGTGGGGAGGGGGAGGGAAAGGAGATTCTAAGCCGCTCTGAGATTCCAAGTGAAGGGTGGGGTATAAATCCAACTCTTCTTCTTTGTCTTCTAGAGATGCCAGCCTTCAGATGGGACCTGGCTTGGGTATCCCCCAGAACTACAGCTCATCTCCAGTCTACAGAGATCACTTCCCCTGGAGAAAATGGCTGCTTTGGAGGGTGGACTCTGTGGCACTGCACCCCGCTGAGGCCCCCTTCCTCCCCAGGCTCCACCCCCAAATCTCCAGTTTTCCAACCTGGATCTGGCAACTCTACACCCCCATCTCCTGCCAGCCTCCAGGGAGAACCTGGCCAACCCTTGAACTACCTCTGCAATTCAGTTCCATAGAAAAAATATACTTCTATCTATAACTGTGTTAGCATGTGCACATTTTATGCATTGACAGTAAATTGCCATTTCCATTTCCAGGTGCTCTTATACGATAAGCGGCCAAGAAAGAGGCCTGCTAGTTCATAACATAACGAGAGTTCAAATTATCCCGAACTGGGGGGGGGGTTGATATGAAAAAGTACGATTCCCTCCTCTTGTTGCTTGACTTCTCAGAGTCCCTTCTGAGTTCTTGTGGCACCACAAACTGACTGTCGCGTCCAACGTTCATTATAACACCAAGGAACCTCATCCAGAGATGGGCCACCTCTTGGTTCAGCTTATATTTCAACATTGGCAGAATCAGGCCTCTCCCCCCCACACACACACACCTCTTTCTGAATGTTGTGGCCGAACTGCAACAGTCACACAAACACTGCAGTGCTCAGGTTGCCACCTCTGGGTTAGGAAATACCTGGAGACTGGGGGGGGGTGGAGCCTGGAGATGGTGGGTTTGGGGGAGGGGAGGGACCTCGGCGGGGTACAATGCCATAGAGCCCACCCTCCAAAGCAGCCATTTCCTCCGGGGGAACTCATCTCTGCAGCCTGGAGATCAGTTAAGAACATAAGAGAAGCCAGTGTTGGATCAGGCCAATGGCCCATCCAGTCCAACACTCTGTGTCACACAGTGGCCAGAAATACCAGTGCCATCAGGAGGTCCACCAGTGGGGCCAGGACACTAGAAGGCCAACCCACTGTCGTCGTCCCCCCAAGCACCAAGAAGACAGAGCATCCCTTGCCCCAGACTGAGAGTTCCTATCTATACCTTGTGGCTAATAGCCACTGATGGACCTCTGCTCCATATGTTTAATCCACTTCCTTCTCGAAGCCGCCCATGCTTGTAGCCAGTGTTCCCTCTAAACTGAGTTAGTGTAAACTAGCTCACAGTTCTTTAGCCTCCGGCTCACACATTTTTGTCTTAGCTCAGGCAAACGAATTTACGCGGCAGCCCAATCGCTCGCTCACAACTTTCATGCCGGCAGCTCACAAAGTAGAATTTTTGCTCACAAGACCCCGCAGCTTAGAGGGAGCATGGCTTGTAGCCGCCGTAAAAGCAGGCGCTCTCCAGGCCCCACCTGGAGACTGGCAACCAGTGTTCCCTCTAAGCTGAGTTAGTGTGAGCTAGCTCACAGTTTTTTAGGCTCCGGCTCACACATTTTTGTCTTAGCTCAGGCAAACGAATTTACGCGGCAGCCCAATCGCTCGCTCACAACTTTCATGCCGGCAGCTCACAAAGTAGAATTTTTGCTCACAAGACTCCACAGCTTAGAGGGAACATTGCTGGCAACCCTTTGCAATGCCCAGATAAAAGGGGAAGGCGGGAGCCATGGGGGGGGGGAGTGTTTCCCTATGGCTGGGGTCCCCCGTCGCCCCAGCCCACCTCCACTGCCTCCAGAGGCCTCCGACGTGGACGGGGGCGCAGGGCGAGGCCTTCTTCTGCCGGGGCCGGCCGCTTCCATGAGTCACCAGCTGGGGCTGCTGTTCAGCTGCAGGCGGCCCTCCGGCGCCCGAGTCCCCCTCCCCGGCTGCGCGGCGCGCTCCAGCCTCCTCCACCTCCCTCCCAGCCCTCTCGCCCCGGCTCCTCACTCGTCGGGAACTCAGGGACGGAGTGGAAACTTCCCCCCAATTGCCCGCCAGGCAACGGACTGCACCGCCCCGGGGGGGTCGCCTCGGCCGCCGCCTGCTCTCCCTTCTCCCCGCCGTCAGCGGTCCTCCGCCCAGCCCAGTCTGCGCCATGAAGCCCGCCGACCTGTTGCTCCCCGTCCTGCTCCAGAGCTGCTTGCTCGTGAGTCGGGTCCTCGCCCAAGATAACGAAATCACGAACGGCGTCGCTTTCAGAGGTAAGGATGCCCCGGCGTGCTGGGATCGCTCCCGCCCGTCTCGCTCTTTCTCCTGTGATTTTTGGGAATGGGGAGGAAATGGAGAGTGCGCATTTGACACTGCCAGGCGTTCGCCCTAACGCTTCCGAATGTGCGCTCCCAGAATGAGAGGGGTTGCCAACTCCTGGTTGAGGGATTCCTGGAGATTTGGGGGAGCAGACAGGGTTTGGGGACAGGAGAGAGAGTGCGACAGACTCCACTTTCCAAAGCAGCCTTCTTTAGTTTGGAGATGAGTTGTAGCTCCGGGAGATCTCCAGGCCCCACCTGGAGGTTAGCACCCCTGCCCATCGTGCAGATTTTATTTTATTTTTTGGTCAGGCAACATTCTCTCCCCAGCATGTATTATAAACCGGGGTTGCAGGTTTTAAAATAATGGATTAATGGTGTTCTCCAACAGTGCCTTGCTTGATTTGTATAGAGGTATTTCAAAAGAGCAAACTTTTCTTTCACTTTTGGGGAGAGCAATCTTTTCAACAATTACTGAGAATGAGTTGAGTGCCAGTCTCCGAGGGGATTTCAGTAACAAATAACATTTGAGTCTGTGATGAGCTGTGGAGAGAGAAAGCGAACGTACAGTGTTGTATTAAGAATGCCCTGACAATATCCAACTATTACCCCGTCTTTCAAATAGATCATTAAGGCAAAAAAAGAAGAAGAGGGGGTATGCTTCCATTCCAGTGTAACGCTCAGTTTAACACCCCAAAGAATCGTTAGAAGAATAGATATCCATCACATCGCTCACATTTCACTGTTTATATTGGAAAGTGAGCCTGGTGACAACATTTTGCCTCAGAATCTTTGCCTTCAAACTCCCTCTCTCTAAAAGGAAAGTTCTCAGGCAGGGTGTCTGGGCTAAAGCATGACGTCCAGTTATCCTGTATATGGAGTGAAGTTTGGGGCTCTCGCTCAGTGACCTTGCCCTAGTACGTGGGTATATCTGTGGGGACTTCTGCCTAGAAGCAAATGCATGTGCTCTCCACTGTGCACAGATTCTAGAGGCTCCAACCGTATCCTCTATTTTTTTTTCCCCAGGGTATGGCTCAAGGTTATAGAGGCTGTGTGCTCAGGCCTGCAAATGTGTGGCAGTTGGATGTGGTGAGGAGGAAAGGGCACACACTTAAGTCTCTGGACAGATTGGCCCTCCGCACAGGGCGAGTGGCAGTTTCTCATCTGGTCTGGGCCGTACATGAGACCCCTCCGTAAACAATTTGGGATGTGTGCTAGTTTTAAAAACCATCTCCTCCCAATGAAGGCCTGGCCTCAGAGAACTACTTTTTCTCTTGCCCTGTGGGACTTTGATAAGTTCTCTTGTCCTTGAACAACAGATTCCCCGTTCTATATCAAAATCTATTTTTGAACTTTTTTTGGTAAGTATGGTATTATGGGAGAAGGCAGGAAACAAGGGCCAAAGCCCTGCCAGAAGTGAACAACCAGTCATGCGATTCTCTGAGTTGTAGCCTGCGTATCACTGTCTTTAACAGAGCCCGTTTGGTGTAGTGGTTAAGAGCGTGGACTCTGATCTGGGAGAACTGGGTTTAATTCCCCACTCCTTCACATGCAGCTGCTGGTGTGGCCTTGGGTCAGTTACAAGTTCTCTCAGAGCTGTTCTCTCAAGGGCAGTTCTTGAAAGAGCTCTCTCAGCCCCACCTGCCTCACAGGGTATCTGTTGTGGGGAGGGGAAGGGAAAGGAGATTGTAAGCCACTCCAAGACTCCTTTGGGTAGTGAAGGGTGTGGTATAAATCTAATCTCCTACTATAATAATAATAATAATAATAATAATAATAATTCTTTTCTAATATAAATATGCCAAAATTGACCATCATCATTTCATAGTTACATTTTTGCAGAAATCCTCACAAAATTCAAGAAAAAATTACCTGTGCTTTTTACACTGTTAGATTGTACATAGCCAAAAATATCCCAGCCCAGAGTTGGCAATCCTACACCCTTCAGTATTCAAATTGTATAACATATTTTATCTGGTTGTATTCCTTTCCTAGCAGTTCGAAAGCAAGAAATTGCAAGTAGATAAATAGGTACCACTTCGGTGGGAAGGTAACAGCGTTCCGTGCGCCTTGGTGTTTAGTCATGCCGGCCACATGACCACGGAAACGTCTTCGGACAGCGCTGGCTCTTCAGCTTTGAAATGGAGATGAGCACCACAACCCTAGATTCGGATTCGACTGGCTTTTGAGCAAGGGAAACTTTACCTTTACTTTTATTCCTTTCCTTACAACCACCTGGTAAGGGAGGCCGATTTTTCTGGCTTGCGTAAGGCCCCCTAATATGAAAATGGCGGTGGCTAGGTTCAGGCTGAGGCCTTCCTCTTTGTGGAATCTGCGGGGGACCAGCAGTCTTTGGTTCTGCCTTCCAAAACACTGAGTTCGACTTCACCAGGACACCTGACAGGTTTTCTGAGGCACCTTGCAAAAACAGGAACCCGTTCGCTTAAAACATCCTCTCTCTTTCTGATTTTGAACAGATTGCCCCGTGGACTTGTTTTTTGTCCTGGATACCTCTGAGAGCGTTGCCTTGAGGGAAAAGCCGTTTGGAGCCTTGGTTGACAAGATCACAGCCTTCACCAACCTTTTCATTGATAGATTGACTGAGAGGTAATGTGATGATTAGTGACAGCATCCAAATCTGGGAATGTGTTGTGTTTTGTTTCCAGCGATCAAGAAAATAGTGATGGTATTCACATAAAATCTGTTACAAAGTCTGCAACCTGAATGGATAAGTATCTGTTTGTGTGTGTGTGTGTGTGTGTGTGTGTGATCTTTCTCTATCATAGCCCTAGCCTTCATAGAGGGGTGATGTGTACACTTACTCTCTAAACAGCAGGTACAGTGGGATGCCTCTCTAAACAGCCTGCCCTAAATGGTTACGAGTCACAAGCAATGTTCCCTCTAAGCTGTGGAGTCTTGTAAGCAAAAATTCCACTTTGTGAGCTACTGGCACTAAAGTTGTGAGCGAGCGATCTGGCTGCCACATGAATTAGTTTGCTCTGGAGCCATCCCTTCCTGAGCTAAGAGGAAAATGTGTGAGCTGGAAGCTAAAAAACTGTGAGCTAGGTCACAGTAACTCAGCTTAGAGGGAACACTGGTCACAAGATCCCATTTTGTTTTGTTGAGACTCCTGTAAGGAGAAGGAATGTGGGCTTTTTTAATGCACATACCTCGGGTTGAACTTGCTATCTTTCTACAAACTCTGGTCCTGTATGTTGAACAATAGCCATAAGCACCAAAATGGAGCTCATGGTGTTTTTTTCCAGCATGGAAATAAGTGGTGAGCAAAGCTCCATCTGCTAACTGCCCTTAAGGGCTCTGACACCAGAAGCTGGGGGGGGGGGAGCTTAACAGGTAGTAAAAAAAGTGAGGGAATCCATAAGGACTTGTGGGGGACATCTTATTCTTCTGCTGTATCCCCTTTCCCACATGATTTCATATTTCCCTCCCTCTTGCAGCCCCCACAGCCCTTCTCTTCCCTTTTATCCTACTCTTCTTCCCTGCCACCCACCCATCAAACTACCTACCGTCATCGGCCTCTCCCCATCTGCAGGTTTCCCTCCTTCCACCTGGCACCCTCGCCCCTTTTCTTCTCTCCTACCCACCCAACTACCTTTTGTATTTCCCCCTCTCCAGGTTCTTGTTCTCTCCCCTTTACCTGCTTCCTTTCCTCCTTTTACCTTTTTTTGGGTCTCTCTCTGTCCCTGCGTTTAACTGACCAAACCTTAGAAGGCTCCGCTTTATTGTTGTAGTTGCCTAGCAACCCACAAAATGGCCACAGAGAGCTCAGAACATAGTCTCACGAGATCTCAATAGGTGTCCATCCTTTTAAAGCTACAGACCTTGCTTCTGTGGGAGGGGTTAAACCCCCCCCCCGATTTTTTTATTTCAGATTTTTCAGAAAACCTGGGGGTTTGTTCAAATTGTAGAAAATCCCCCCTGCCCCATTGTCTGGATTTCAAAATAAGATATAATGATACTATGTAGTAGTCATATTGTTTGTACTGTTTATTTACCTAATCAGCGCTGCCTTGTTTCCTCAGCACATGGCCAAAACATACATCAGAATGCACCTAGAAACGCCTTGCATGTCACCCACCATTTCCCTTACTGTTGTGCAAGAATAATAAAAGTTTCTAGGGTTGTCGGCTTTTTATACTGGCCCAGTTCCTATTCTTTTACAGCAGCTTGGCAGTAAACCCAGTAGGTGGCATGCATGCAGTCACCAGGCCCAGTCCAAAGAAAATCAGTTCTTCTTAGGTAGGCTGCAGTGCAATCAATGGAACTGAAAGGTGCTAATTTTGGTGGTAAACTGCCTCTTTCTCTCTCTGCGTGACATCCACACCAGAAGGGGATTGGCTACGCTCACCACCTTTTGGTAGAAAACAGTGCAGGGGGCGGGGTTTCCCATGATTTCCAGCCCTCTGATCTGCCCGCCCGGCGGGGGGGAGCCCCCGTCCTGAAAGAGCTCCCTGGCATCTGGTGTGCCTGGCATGATAATGTCACCTGGGTTGCCATTCCCCAGTTGGGGACAGGGGAATCCCCTGGTTTTACATGTTCTGGCCAGCGGAAGGAAATTCCCCCAAATATACAGTGACACTGTCACCCAGAAGTGATGTAGGCACGTCAGTGATGTCGAGGGAGTCACACTCTTGTCTTTGGGAAAAACTATATGGTTTGAGGCTGATTTTACCATAGAGTTCTGCCCAAAAACCAGAGCGTCGCCCCTGATGTCACCGACATGCCTACGTCACTTCCGGGTGATGTGATGTCACTTTCCTCTCCTGGAACGTTCCCCCCCATCCCTTCACCGGCGTTTCCGACAGACCCTAACCACTGCTCTATGGTATACCATAAATCCTAGGTGGAATCCTTCCCTAAATCCGTGGGCACCACCCCAAATCTCCAAGATTTTCCAGGCCAGCACTGTGGGAACCCTCGCCACAGCATAGAAACCTCTCCAGATGTTAATGTGATGCCACAGTTTTGAGGCCTGGTCCTTTAATTTGGCCTGAATGCCTCCTGCCCTTCCCTTAGGGACTGAGGGGCAGGACAGCTGATCCCCTTTGATGGCACTGGACTGGCCTTCCAGAAGGTTCATCCCACAGGATGCTGTTTCTTGCCAAGTAAGGCAGAGTTGGATGTTCCCTCTGTGCATGTGTTTGCATCCTCTGTAGTGTCAGTGGATATGCATGAAAACTAATGCCCCATGCTGTGTGTATGTTTCACACCCGATAGCTGTTGAGGCCTGCACTGATCTATTGATTATTTACTATGGGGCTTTTCTGGTTAGTTGCCAATCCCCAGTTGAGGGCAGGGGATCTCCTAGTGCGGAGCCTCTCCCCCTGCTTCAGGGCTACCAGAAAGTGGGGTGTCTCCGGGGGTGTCTGCTGGTGCCTCTCCTGAAAAAAATACCCAAGTTTCGAAAAGATTGGACCAGGGGGTCCAATTCTATGAGCCCCAAAAGGAGGTGTCGCCATCCCTCATTATTTCCAGTGGAGGGAATCAGTGTTCCCTCTAAGCTGAGTTAGTGTGAGCTAGCTCACTGTTTTTTAGCCTCCGGCTCACACATTTTTGCCTCCGCTCAGGAAAGATGGCTCCAGAGCAAACTAGTTCGATGCAGCAGCCAAATCGCTTGCTCACAATTTGAATGCCGGTAGCTCATAGAATGAGCCCCAAAAGGAGGTGTCGCCATCCTTCATTATTTCCAAATGGAGGGAACGCGTTTAACTGGAATGCAGTCCCTTTCATTGTGATGGCCTGAGCTCTCCTCCAGCTTGTCAGCCTCACCTGGCAACCCTAGTGACATCACAAAAGGGATCGCACATCCTGGCTCCTGGCTCCACCCCCAAGTCTTCTGGCTCCACCCCCAAAGTCCCCAGATATTTCCTGAGTCGGACCTGGCAACCCTATTTCTGGTGTCCACTAGGGTTGCCCGCTCTGGCTTGGGAGATACCTGGAGATTTTAGGGGTGGAGCCTGCAGATAGTGGGGATTGGGGAGGGGAGGGACCTCAGCAGGGTAAAATGCCGTAGAATCAGGGGTCATTTCCTGCAGGAGCGCACAGGAGCGTAGCTCCGGCAGTAAAGAGCCCAGGGGGCGGGCACATGCAACAAGCCCCACCCCCTGCTCCCAGCAGCCCTCAGTCAGAGCAAGAAGCAGCCAGGTAAGTTGCAGAGCCGCCCCCGGTCCAAAACAGTCCAGTGGCACCTTTAAGACCAAGTTTTATTCAGGTACAAGCTCTCCCTCCTCTGCGAGGGCAGATCTGCACGTTCTCTCCCCACCCCAATAGCTAGCAATCCAAAACAGTCCAGTGGAGCCTGAGCAGTGGGCGTTGCCTTCTGACACACTTCCGGTGTGGCATATGCAAATGAGCTGTGCTAATGAGCTCCTGCACCTCTTTTTATACGAAATGACCCCTGTATAGAATCAGGCCTCCAGATGTGCTCCAGGTGAACTGATCTTGGTTGCCTGGAGGTCAACGGCAATAGCAGGAGATCTCCAACCCTAGATGTTCCTTAAACCCAAACAACCTTTTAGGACAGATTTTAAATTGGTGGAAGATGGGCCGTTGTGGGATCAACAAGTGCCACATGCTGAAGGAGCCAGCTGTATTCAGCAGTGTGGGGAGGTGCTTTCTGCAGTGATCCTTGGTGCAAACTTGTCGTCCCTGTTTTGGTGTGCAAAGTGTTGGAGGGCATAGAACATCGGATGAGAAGAGTTCTTCTGGTGCGCCAGGCAGTTTTTCTGCTGGATGCCCCACATTCTCCTCTGCCTGCCTTCTGCTTTAACTGGAAGCAAAGTTTTTCACTTGAGTTTCAGAAATGGTTGGGGGATGCGGTTGGCAGCTCTGTGTTTGGAAATACCTGGAGATTTGGGGGGCGGGTAGAGACTGGAGAGGGGAGGGTTTGGGGAGGGGAGGGACTTAAACGGGGTTTGTTGTGTTTGTTCAGTCGCACAGTCGAGTCCGACTCTTCGCGACCCCATGGACCAGATCACGCCAGGCCTTCCGGTCTTCCGCCGTCCTCTGAAGTTGGCTCAATTTCATGTTCGTTGCATCTGTGACACTGTCTAACCATCTCATCCTTTGCCGTCCCCGTCTTCTTTGACCTTCAGTCTTTCCCAGCATCAGGGTCTTCTCCAGTGAGTGCTCCCTTCTCATTGGGTGGCCAAAGTATTTGAGCTTCAGTTTCATTATCTGGCCTTCCAGGGAACAGTCAGGGTTGATTTCTTTTAGGATTGACTGATTTGATCTCCTTGCAGTCCAAGGGATACAACATCATAAAGTTCAGCCTCCACAGCAGCCATTTTCTTCAGGGGTAACTGGTCTCTGTTGTCTGGAGATCAGTTGTCCTGACATGGTTGCGTGTCTGTCTCAAGATTCCTGTTTGCACCGGGGTTTAATCCATTTTGTAACATCTGGAATTCCAAAACAAAAGAATGACGAGTGGCTAATGTACCAGGGCTTCTCCAAAAGCAAGATCAAGTAATTCAGAAAGTCAGACTCAGGGGAGAAATTTGAATAAGGAGAATAGAAGGGGAAATCATGGAAGTAGTGACAGACTTCACGTTCCTGGGATCCCAGATCACCGCAGACTGTGAAAGCAG